GGATCCAGAAAATGGTTTTATGAGCTGCGAGGACAGAAGTTTCAGCTTTACAAAGTCCTGCAGCTTTAGATGTTCTCCTGGCTATCACCTGGTGGGACCAAGCAGGGTCACATGCACAGCAGCAGCTGAATGGAGTGAGCAGGTGCCACACTGTGAAGGTGAGAGTTACCTTTGAGCGCGCACTCCAAAAAAACAGAAAATATTTCTTGCCTACATGTGCACTCAATTGTAAGCTTGATTTGTTGTGTTCCATTTTATAACATGATTCCTCCTTATTCCCCAGCTGTCAAGTGCCCTCTTCTTGAAGAGCCTGAAAATGGTCGTATGAATTGCACAGACAGCCTGCAGGCTTTCAACTCTACATGTTCCTTCAGATGCAATCCAGATTTCCTATTAGATGGACACAAGATCCTGACTTGTAATCGTCGTGGCACTTGGACCGAAAAGAAACCCACTTGTCGAGGTAAATAAAACAGAAGATTAAAAAGAGGTTCCCATAAGAGAAAAAAAGTCAATGTTCTAAATATAAAACTGAGTTGATCCTGGGTCAGATTATTCACATTCGGTGGTGTTTCCACAGCTGCTCCAGTTTCTGCCACTGTTGTTACTGGTGGGGTTGCAGCAGGGGGCACCGCCTTAGTATCCGGTCTGTCTCTGGCTATGTGGGTTATGAAAAAACTGAAGCAGAGAGCCTCCAAGTTTGAGCTGAACAGGTAAATGTCGTTTTTTAACAGGTCAAATCAGAAATTTTAAGAATCAATAAACTCATCTTGTTTTCTTCTCATGTTGTTCCTCACAGCAGCTCCGAGGTGGAGGCACCACTCCAGGTCTACAAAAACAGCATCGACAGTCTCATCTAAGCATCAACTTTAAAAAAAAAAACAACACTTAAAAATAAATTTAACCAAAAAGGATTAAAGTTAGAAGTATGAATTTTCTCCCAATGGGAGTTTAATATAGAACATATTGTTCTACTACACATCAGTATGCTGGAAATCTATTTTATTTTGGCCTTTTTGTGAATGTTGCACAAGATTGTGGGTGAAATTGTGAAATAACTTTCTTACGGTATATAAATATATATATATATATATATATATATTTCTATACAGTATGTATTTATAGGATCTGTATTTCTACATATTTAATGTAAAAATAATCATTGCCCTTAAGGTCAGCTGCGTCTGTACATGCTTGGGCACATTTTTATATGCAATTAAACCTAATAAATGTGTTAAAAACTGAAAATGTATTCATTATATATCACACATCACCGTGTCCTATATTAGACCAGTTCTGTTTCCATATTAAGCATTAAGGTTTAGCTATCAACAAAAAGTCCTACCATGTATGCTTGCTCAGCAATTATGTCTGTCTCAAACTTTTCCCACACTCTGATCAATGACAGTCATCCTGTTTCTGCCTCTGAACTGACCTCTGTTTCAAAGGGGTAGAAAAATAATACGGGTAAAATCCCCAGGAAGTAAAATGAACTTCTGCAATTGTCTGTTTCACAAATGATCAGCATTCTCTGCAGAGAGGTTGTCATTTGTCAGCAGTTAGGGAGAATGACCAAAGGGTTATAAGTCAAAGTCCCATAGCAAAAACTTTCACTTCTTCAACTAGACCAAACCTGGCCTATTGTTTAACGTGACCTTGACCGCATAAGTCTCTGTCTCCACGACATCAACAACATCTATTTCAGATTACTGTGTCTTGGTCAGCTCAATGGCTTTGCTTTAACACAACTTATTTCACAGAATGTGTTTTCCTTGAGGGTCACAATCCGTCACTTCAGTAGTAGAAGTTCAGGCAGACAGGCATGTTTACCTTTGTTAATTATAAATTATGCAATCAATGTGGTACTATCTTAAAAATTGCAATATCTTAATCTGATACCCAAAGAAAAAGAAAAAAATATATTTTATTTTTGTGTTTGAGTGAGCATTCATTTTATCTGAGAAACCTAAAAGCTTCACTCTTTATTGGTATGTTGTGAGAGACAGATCCATTTACAGAAACAGAACAAAAACGGCTTATTGTGCAGTAAGGTATTGATGGTTGAAATTTCTGTATTTTTATATCATGAAAAATTTCAAAGCATCTCAGATCCCATTAAATCTGTAACAATAGTTAGACTTTTTAAGCAGAAGATATTCTGATAAAAAATACTTAAATGCAATACGGATTAATTCCTTTAAAGCTATTTAAGCAATTGGCACATGTCTGCAACAGGTTGTAAATAATCTTATTAAGTGGATGTGGGTAGAGAAACCAACATTTAATGTGGCAGATAAACCGGAGAGCAGCAAAGCCAAGGGTTGCATTGGCCATAAAGATCCCCATTAAAAAGTGAATAAAGAAAAAAAGACTTAGCTGTAATATATGGACGCACTGTTTATACTGTATATTTCCCATGCACCTTTTTCTTCCTTTGGCACTTTCTTCTTCTCTTTTTGACTATTTGAGCTGATGTAACGAGTAAATTTCTCCACTGTGAGATCAATAAAGTCAACCAATCAATCAACCAAGGATCACTGTTTGTTACGGCCCGAAGTCTTTCCTTTGGGTCTTTAAAATCCTTGTTTTACAGCTTCTAATTGGTGCTGATTGGAAGTGGAGGCAGTTGGCCAGGATAAAATCAGATCCAGATGAAGATGCACCATTCTTTCTCACGAAGCTAGCTCATTCTTTCTGTCCCTTTCCCTCTCCTCTCCAACCAGTTATGATTTTTTTGTTAAATAAATCCCATTTTAAGTTATCCCATGCGTTGTGGAGATCATTTTCTAAAATGATCAAATAAAAAATAACAAAGACATCTATGCAGACATAAAGAACAGCATAGGAAGTCGAATGATTTACAGATGACTCTGTGATAAAAATGTTTTCCTGGTTCCTGGGATTGAAAGCAGTCAAATCAGGAGTCAACAATGAGTTTGGGGATTATGCGATCATGCCGGTAATCAGCGGCACCAGAGTAAACCTAGAGGAAAAAAAATCCATCTCTATTCTATCAAAGAAAAAAAAAACTCATACTAAAACAACCTGACAGACTAAGACATGGTTATATAACTCAGAAACAGAGAGCCTGAATAATATTTATTTCCTTGTACTTAAAAACAAGAAAATCGACCCTAGAATCAGAAAATGAGTGGAATTCCCCAAAAGATTAATTCAAGTTTAACTAGTCTGATAAATCCTTCGGCACCTCCATTCAGTTCGTATTGTAAACATCCAGCTATTCAACGATGATGCCAGCCAAACTGGCAGAGAGAAAGTATAAAAGTCTTTCTCTGACTTGAAGCTGCACCAAACTAATGGCTGTGGTTTGAGGTTAAACATAACTGGGAAAATTTACTAAAAATCAAGCTGCCACTTACATCAGCAGTTCTGGGTAAGCAAGATCTTATTTTGTTACCGAATGACTTTCCAAAGCTCTTCACTTTTCACCTTATTTTTTTCAAACAGATAATAGCTGCTAACTGAAGATGAAGTGGTTTCTGTTTAGCATCTTAGGTGGGTTTTGGTTATAATACATTGAGGAGTTGATTTAGTATTAGCAATCCTTAAATTTAAATATAATCTGTTTTTAGGTTGGTCCTTTGCTGATGTTAACTTGGGATGGACGTATCACTACTCAACAGATACAATGAACTGGACTGAAGCTAGAAAGTGGTGCCAGACACATTTCACAGACTTAGTGGTGATACAGAGTGATAAAGAGAATGCATATATTGCTTCCCTACTACCCACAAAAGATAGCTCTCCATATTATTGGATTGGTATCACCAAAAAACAAATAAATGAAACCTGGAGTTGGGTTGGGAATAACAGCACATGGGTCGGTAACACGTCATGGGCTGAAAATGAGCCAAACAACAACTTAAGCGCAGAGTTCTGTGTTGAGATGTATGTAAACAGTCGCAATAATCATGGGAAGTGGAATGATGAGAAATGTGCCAACAAAAAATATGCAGTTTGCTACAAAGGTGAGTACAAATTGTTACTTTCATAAATTAAGTTAACAGTAAAATAAAATTGTTGTAATATGGCATCAGAAGCAACAAAGTCAAACTCTTCTCAACAGCTCAGTGTAACCAAACATCATGTGTAAACGGCATGTGCTGGGAGACCATAAACAGCACAACCTGCCTGTGTTATCCTGGCTATGAGGGAGACAAGTGTCAAACAGGTGAGAAGAAAATTACAAGAATTTCCCAGTACAGCGTAAAGATTGGCTCAAGATAATTTGTGCAAAAATAGCAAGTTTTCAAAAGCTCTGATCTAGAAGGTCACGTTCAATCTATCACAGCTCAGGAAGTACAAAATGCCAGAATAAAGCAGATCCCTTTATTGATAACAGTTTAGACAGCTGACCTGTTTGTTATCTGTTGCACACACTGTCATTAATATTGTTTTTTTACTCACCCTGCATGTTTTCAGAACATTAGACTCAACATCTGTTTCCTTTGTTTCCTTAGGCATACTTAATTAACAAAATATACACACATCGGCAACTATTTCCTTTCAAAAACATTGAACATTCGAAGAACTATCCGATGTTTGGAGTATTATATAACAGTTTTGTGTTTGACCCGCAATTGCTCCCAGGTGTGGAATGCCCCCCTCTGTCTGCACCTGAAAATGGTGACTTTAACTGCTCAGGAGGCGTGACGCACAAATTCAACACAACGTGTCACTTTAAATGCCATCCGGGATTCATCATAAATGGCTCATCTGATGTGACCTGCGAGACCAACAGGATCTGGAGTGATCCTCAACCTGTTTGCTCGGGTGAATGTGCA